AGTATCGATCACGCATTACGCATTTTCGAATCTAATTTATTATAGAAGTGCATAATTATGATTAATAAATTAGTAGAAATGCAACTCAGAAATTTTATTTCACGATCCTTAAATAAATATAATCCAAAGCAGCGATCATGGTATTTATACTCTGAACTTGGACCGTCAAGCTATAGATTGCAGTTTATCGATAATTCAAGCTGCCGCTTGAAGTTGGTTCGATGTAGTCGATAGTATCAGAGATTTGGCTACTATCGACTAAATCGATAGTTTTTAGTCGATGGTGTCCATCACTAGTTCAGGTGGCTTTTGCGATTTGCGGTGAAAGACACATGTATGTACGTACGTAGATGTTATGACTGGCACCTGCCAGTGAACAGGTGAAAATATTTATTTTTACGATCATGTTCCTACTTCTTAACATTTCGTTCTAGCCTATACGATCATGTATCATATAATATTATTATACATATAATATTATATATTTCTTGATCGTGCGTATGGCGTATAGGCTCCTAAATGATCGCGGTATGATGAAAAAACTGACGCGAAAAATCGTACTGTTTTTCTAGACACGATTCTGTAACAATTCAATGAAACGGGGCAATACATCGAAAAATACTACGTTTTATGTGTGAAAATGTCCTCGGAGGCTTCCTCGAACGATGTGCCAAATGTCGTGTCGAGACTGTACAATTTACGTTTAAGCCATGAAGACAACGATGAACCTCAGCAGAATGTGAATCTCACTACATCCAGAGATTCATCTCCAGAGCCTGTGCGAAATATTCAACCTCTCGGTAATGTTACTCTATCTCGTGCTAGACGAGCGTTAAACTTTGTTTACGACGAGGATCAACCAACTTCGTCAACAATAAGAAGTGGAGAAACTTCATCCTCAAATGGAGACAAGTAAGCACTTCTTCCTTCATTTAAAATAGAAAGTTATTTCTATAATGACTTCTTATCCGTATTGACACTTTAGTAGACCTCCAACAAATGCAGTAAATTCATTGCATTTGGAAGGAAGATCTCAAGATACTTCTGCTCTGGAAAGTACATCTACAAATGGTCAAGCAACAGTAGCATACAATTGGCAGGGTACAAAGGCAACAATGCGTGAAAGAATAGTCTTTCTCTTTAACAATGAGATATTGTCAGATGTCAGCTTTATAGTAGGAAGAGGAGCACAGAAACAACGTATACCAGCTCATAAACTAGTCTTGTCTTCTGGAAGTGCCGTTTTTGATGCAATGTTTAATGGAACACTTGCTACAGCTTCTTCAGAGATAGAAGTACCTGATGTAGAACCCGCTGCTTTTTTGGCAGTGCTTCTTTTTTTATATACGGACGAGATACAGATAGATCCTGAAACTGTGATGACAACATTGTATACAGCTAAGAAATATGCAGTGTCTGCCTTAGAGAAGCACTGCGTGGATTATTTGAAGAACAATTTAACCAGTGATAATGCTTTTCTTCTTTTAACGCAAGCCCGTCTTTTCGATGAACCTCAATTAGCTGCTGTATGTCTGGATACTATTGATAGATTTACTACAGAAGCATTGAATGCCGATGGATTTACAGATATTGATATTGATACATTAAAAATTGTTTTGGAAAGAGACACTCTTAGAGTTAGAGAGTCTAAGATATTCCAGGCAGTTCTGAGATGGTCAGAAGCAGAATGCATAAGACACCGACTTCCAGTTACCCCGGAAAATCAGCGCTATGTTTTAGGCAGCGCCTTCTCATTGATTCGTTTTCCTTTGATGTCAAAAGAAGAATTTACTGCTGGTCCAGCGCAATCTGGACTTCTAAATTATTCAGAGGCTAGTATCAATTGCATAAATTAATATTATCTTAATCATTTCTACGTAGTCATTCTAAGAAAACATGTACTTCAGGTTCTCTCTCTATTCTCGTATTTTATATTAAATCCAAAACCTGTAGTCGGATTTCAAACAATGCCTCGCTGTTGTATGACTGGTAAAGAGCAAACTGTATGCAGATTTCAACATACCAAGAGTAGATGGGGATATAATGGGACGAGTGATCGCATAAGGTGATTAGCAAGAGAAAACATCAAATCTTTTTTTTTGATACTTCACGTCACTTAATTCTATATTTTTCAGATTTAGCGTTGATAGACGAATATTTCTTATCGGCTATGGAGTATATGGTAGCATGCATGGACCAGCAACATATGAAGTGTTAATAGAATTAATACACACTGCATCTGGAAAAGTAATTGCTACGAATTCGACAAATTTTAGCTGTGATGGTTCAAAGTACACTTATCGCTTAATGTTCAAAGAATTAGCCGAAATTCTACCAAATACAATTTACACTGCATCAGCAACATTTAAGGTTTGGAACAGGTTATTTATAAGGTATTTTTTTTTTATTGAATACTTATTAATCTTTCATAATTATTTTAGGGTCCTTATTCTCATTATGGGACTAAGGGTTTGAAAACAGTCATGGTGGATAGTGATTCAGGAAACGGAAAAGTTAAATTCGAATTTAACATTGAAGCAGGAGATAATAATGGAACATCTCCTGATGAAGGACAAATTCCGGAGCTTATATTTTACACTTAATAGCTCATGTACATAATGACGACATTCCTTTTATCAGCTTCACTCATTGTCTTTCAAAACTTATTACATTAAATTCTGTTGTATAAAAATGTTATATGTCAGTTTCTTTGTCAATTATATATTTTATTGTTGCGTAAATTACAATGCTTCATACGATAACTATGTAATTCGTACGAGCTGTTGAAGATCTGCGGCAAGTGAAAAGATAATGTTTTATATCTTACATGTGTCTATCTGAAAGTATCGAAAGTGAAATTTATAGATCTCAAAATGGCCTTATTGGGAGACGAGACTGATTCGTGCCACTGATGTCAAATCAATGTGAATCGCTTCGTTTAATTAACTTAATGGTTGATTTCTTCAACAACGAGTGAAACTTAGTTTCCTTTTGAGACCTGGTGAAAAGGCATTTTAAGGATAAATAAGTTCCAAAGAATTTTGAAAAAGGTATGAACCATACGAATTATGATTCTTAATTATAACTAAAGACAATCTATTTTTCTATTTCTTAACACAATTGTACATGAGTGGTAAATTTATAGAATAGATGATTCCTTGTTTCCAGTATTTAAAAAGATCTTTCTCTGTTAAATCATTTTTCTGATAAATGTATAAAACAACGCGTCTAAAATTGTAATCGATGTTCAGGATTGTTAATATTCTGCATGAAATGACGATGTTACAAACTAAAACTTATCGAATATTTTTTAGCGAAATTATTTAAGAAGGACGTCTATAAATTTTAGTAGAAAGCTATCTATTAAGTATCTTATTGGCTGTACATACGTATATACGTGGAAGCAATGTATCGTTATTTTTCTAGTATTATTCAAGTCAAACAGGCGCAGAAATAATACCTCAAAAGTTTAACAATGCTTCGTTATTGCGATATTGAACATGACGAATCTTCCAAATTCATTCTTTGCATTCATTAACTGCGCAAACTAGTCAAATATGATTTTTATCAATATTTGCACAATAGAATATATTATGCTAATGCGATATCTCCACTATTTTTTGTCAATAGCGTACAATTATTTATACTTTAATTGTATCAATATGCACATACATTAATATTAAGAAATTAAATAAACTATTTATTCAATAAAAAATATTAGTTTATTCATTTCATTTTCCTTTGGATTTATTGTAGTCTCCAGTGTTATATTGAAAAATCGTATTAACATTATAATACTCATTTTGGAATTCACTAACAGATACGCGCTTATAATACTGCGCTGTATAAACCATATTAATTACGATTACAATTGAAAATAACAATGATAACAAAAAAGTACTTGATGCCATTTAAATTTCACGTCTCAAAATTTTCATAAAGTTAGCTGAAACACCCTGTATAGGTATCGATTTCTAATATGAACTTGTTGACAATAATTCTTCATTATAATTTATATTTGTCATTCATTCACTTGTTTTTAGTGATTAAATATAATTGTGTCGTTTTGTTATTTAAATAATCAACACAAACTGATAATTACAATTTTAAGAGACTCAAGCGAATATCGCCCATGGCGAGATCCATCGAGTTCATCGGGACTATCGATACTGCACGACACGTTAAACCGAAGATTTCAATTCCAACCTTAATGAAATATACCCTAAATCTAAGAGATTGAAATTAAATGCTAGATTTATAATATCATGCTGAATCTTATCTGTTTGTAACGAATCAACTCATCCTTCGTTTGATTTGAAAGAAGTTGTAACATCAGTTATTCTACTTCCAGAGGGATTAAAAAGTAATTTTTGTATAAAGTAACAAAAGTGACGTAAAGTTGTAATGATTGAAAGCAAGTTCGCGAAGCAGCTAACAATCTTTAGAAATGAATTGCAATGGGGGGTCGTCCATGAGTGGTGAACGTAGATCAAATACCTTTATGGATATTAAACCAATTATCACGTGTAAGTTAATTAAATGATAGTATTTAATTTATTTAACCTCCTAGCTTTGACACTATTATTAAAGCACTGTTATTTACGCCCCCCTCCAATGAACTGTCAATCTTCATGCCATTTCTTTTTCACTTTTTCAATAATGATATCATAAATACAGAGTTATGCATCGTATAACAATAATTGCATTTCTAATTATGTTTTTCATTGAATAATTAGCTTTCATTTTTTATCAACATATGTTATTTTAAGTAGGTTAACGTTTTCTCTCATAAAGAATATATTTCCATGTAATATGATAGTTATTTATTAAATGCATTATATTTGTCATTTTA